CTCCATACAAATTTTCAGAGAAAACGTTCTAATTGCGCCAAAAACATCGATACAAGATAATTATTACGTTATAAGGTATGCATTTACTGATGCAAAGCACATTCAAGCAAAAAAAGAGACATTTCAAACATCAGATAAAGTTGTCTATGGAGCAACTGGATACAGCCCAATGTGCGCCTTTTGTTTTTCCTCTAAAAAGCAACTTTGAGTACATCGATTTTAAATAATTTTTTTTCACGTTGCAGAATCGATAAAATCGACCATAGACAATAGTCGTTCCTTCAATATTTCAATTTTCAGTCCAATTTCATTCTCGTTCGTTAATTTTACCGCCTTGTCTGAGAATCGTGTAAGCGGCTTGCGCAGTGTGAATTTTAGTAGTTAATTGTGATCCGCCTGATATTAAATATTACTCTTAAGTTTACTAAGCATTGACTAAGTTGTTATAAATAACTATCAAAATGTTTTGGGGTAAGTTTTGCAATTAGCCGGCCGCATTTTGTTACCACGTGTTACTATGGTATCTTTCATGTTTCCTGCATTTTTACGTTTTGATTAAAGTTTAAATGAATATGAATGAGATCTTAACAGATCTATACAGCTGCCTTTGGCATTGCTTTTCTATTTTCATTGTGAAATATTACGCTAAAGTGTATTTAATGTGCTATCTTGTCTCCCGGGTAGCATGCACGCGTTCATTCCCCGAAAGCCAAAAATTCATATTAACTTTTGTTATGATTTATAAACCGAAGTATGTTAATTACAATAAAAATTTTAACTCAAATCTAAGACCTATTTTATTAAACTAAAATACGTTATAAAATCTATCCTTTTAGGACTTATTATGGAACCGAACAAACGGTACACCCAAGTGGTGGAGAAGCCGTTCCACATTTCGCAAGCGGCGATGGATATATCGACAGGTGATAATGACCCTTGCCAAGTGATGGTGGTGGTTGATGGCAAAAACTTCCTCGTCTGCACACTCCAGAAGAACAAGTGCATACAAGTACCATTAGATTTGTACTTCAAGATGGGAGACTCGGTTGCATTTTTAACTAATGGTAAGTAACTGTATGATAATAAATTACTTAAAATTGCTTCATTCCAACAAAAATAGGTATTTATGAACCACTACAGTATGGCAATGTGGCAAGAGAATATAAGATATATAATAATTGGTTTAACAAAGTAACTAACTTTATGATTTGATATATATTTCCAAGAAGTACTTAATTAAAATCTGGAATTCCTCCGCTGCTCCGTCTGCATGTAATAAAAACTATAGTGAGTAGCGTGTGTTTTCTACAGACTATCCTCTACATCTGATGATCATTTGTCATCTAAATCTGTTCAACAGTATAGGCTACAAACTCCAACAAATATCCATCCATCCATCCATGTAAACTTTCGCATTTATAAAATTAGTATGAAATATGTAGTATTAGTATAATTTATTATCTTAAATAACTGACATTAACTTATCTTTTAAGGTAAATGTAATGTCCACTTGACTGGATACTTGGACCCTGAGTTTGAAGAAGAGCAGTCTGATGAAGAAGAGGAAGCAGAGTCAGAGGAGGAAGAGGAAGCACCAGCACCCGTGTCTTCTAAGAACAAGAGGAAGCAGCTGGATAGCAGCACGGAATCTTCTAGCAATAAGAAGGCCAAGGTGAGTTGTGCGGTTTTAATGTTTTTTGATATGTTATTTTGGAACACAGAATACAGTAGAACCTCTATAAGTTAAAGTCCAAGGGAAATACAAAATATTTTAAGTTATAGAGGTTTTTAAGTTACCATGGTTTGAGTTATCGAGGTTCTACTGTAATTGAACAATTATTACATCTAGATCACTTTGTAAATATAACCTTTTCTAGTTTAAAGCCATTCTATATTTAATTTCTTAAGGTGCCTTTCCAATTAAGATGTTGGTTGTTTAGCAACGCAAGTTGCAAGAGGTTCCATGTGGAATTGAACATGTAGCCTATGTTACTTACTAATAACTTTAATAGTGAAAGAATTATCGCAATAGGCTCAGTTGTTTTTGAGTTACTTCAAAATGTACAAAAGTATAAAATCTAAATTTTATGTTTTATAATAGTATAGATTTGCAAAAGATTCGAAACTTTAGGCGTTATTCACATATTAGTCAAGTTCATAGATTTGTAAAGCTGATTTACACACATTCTGTGGTAGCAAGAGTTATTGTTAAAATAAGTTTTAATTATACAGAAAGAAAAGAAGGGTAAGAAAGCTGCTGAGGAAAGTTCCGACTCTGATGAGGAAGAGGATGATCTGCAGAAGTTCCTTGATGGAGAAATAGACACTGATGAGAATGATGAATCATTCAAAGTCAATACATCCGCTGAAGCTGATGACAGGTAAATATGTACTGTTAACTTCTGTTTGTGTGAATGGACCCTTAGTGTCTTTTTAAGACACTCAAGTCTAGGTAAGGTGTTATTATCTTAAGCATAGTCATGAACAAATTAAATATTCTTAGTGAGGAAGATTCTGACGAAGAGGAAGAAGAAGAGGAAGAAGGTGAGGAAGATGATGAAGATGACGATGAGAATGACAAGGGCGAGAGTTCTGAGGCGGACACCACTCTCGACACAAGCAAGGACGAATCTAAAGTGGATATGTCCAAGTTGACCAAGAACCAAAGGAAACGACTCAGAAAGAAGTTGCAACAAGCAAAGACACCGCAAGTGAATGGTGTTGAGAAAACTAAGGTGATTTTAAATTTTATAAACAATTTGTATGTAATTGTGGCTTATAATGACAGAAGCGGGATTTTAATACAACTTCACCACCAATTAATCTTTTTTTTAAATAATTACGTAGTTATCTGTAAAAACTATAATATTTTTTCTGAAAAATCTATTAAAACGTTAACTTCAAACCTAAATGTTTATAAAGAATGAGATAACCCATGCCAAAATGACTTAAAAAAAAACTTAAATCTCTATGAAGTAAAAAAATCTTAGTTTTTTAAGAAATCTTTAGTTTTAAACAACTTTCAATATTTTAAATATTCCCATGCCATTTTATTACTTTAATAATATTTTTATATGATTAGGAGAAGCCGGAAGCACCGCAAAAGGCTGAGAAGAAGAAGGCGGAACCCAAAAAGGAAGAGGAAAAAGGTGATAAGAGGGAGAAGAAGAACTTGAGTGGTGGAGTGGCCATTGAAGATCTTAAAGTGGGCACAGGAGCAGTCGCCAAGCCTGGCAAAGTTGTTACGGTAAGACATAATATTAACTGTTTCTTGCATCTCTAAACAGAATAAAAAAAATCCTTAGGTAGCCTTTCTTTCAATTTAATATAGAAGATATTTGGGAAATATATTACATTTAGTTAGGTTTATAGTTTACTAGCTTTTACTCGCGACTTCATCAACGTGAAATAAAAAAATAATAAAAAGTATATCCTATGCTTACTCACCAATGACATAGATTTTTAATGGTGGTAGAATTTTTGATATCGGCCCAATTGTTTCCGAGTTATTCCAATAGATACAAGTAGAATAAAAATATAAGTATGTAGCCTATGTGTTCTTCCAAACTATGTACATCTATGCCAATTTTCCGGCATTTTAGGCTACAAACTCTAACAAATATCCATCTAAACTTTCGTATTTACATTAGTTCTTACTAAGTCTACGTTATTTTATCCAGGTGTATTACGAAGGTCGTTTGAAGCAGAACAACAAGATGTTCGACAACTGCTTGAAGGGCCCAGGTTTCAAGTTCCGTCTGGGAGCTAAGGAGGTGATTAAGGGCTGGGATGTTGGAGTTGCTGGGATGAAGGTCGGCGGCAAGAGGAAGATCGTCTGCCCACCAGCGATGGCGTAAGTTTTCTGCATTTGTTTATTATTTACAAGAAATTGTTTTCTCAGAAAACAGATAAACATACTTAGGTATATATTTTTTTTAAAAGAGTATATCAATAAAAGGTTTGGCTTGTGATTTTAGTCAAACCAAGATAACCTTAAAATAAGTTATTTAAAATTAAAGTGACCATTTCCCACTGACAAGACCCACTTTGGGTCGCTGCGCCAACGCAGTAGGTATTTCCCACTGACATATATATTTCCAACATTAGCCTTAGGCAGAGTAAGAGACGCGCAGAGAGAAGACATTTTTACCAATTCCACCTTCAGGATTTAGTTAAAATGCCTTCTCTGTGCTTCTACTTAGTCCTCCTTCCCTATTCTTAGAAGAAAATTACTTCCAATTCCCGCATGTCTTGTGTGTTTATTGCACAACTAGCTGTTGCCTCCGACTTCGTCCACGCAATATTAAGATAATAAAAAGTAACCTGTCAGTCAGCTGACATAGACTGGCTACTTTTTATAATATATGGGTAGCTACCCTTCAGTGCATGTTATATTATAAGCTACTCTTTTATCTTAATATTGCGTGGACGAAGTCGCGGGCAACAGTTAGTTATAAATATAACTTTTATGTACAGGTATGGTGCCAACGGTTCTCTGCCAGTGATTCCGCCAAACTCAACCCTCACGTTTGAGGTGGAATTGAAGAATGTTAAATAAAGTTTTCATTTACCCGAGTTTCCTCGCTGATTTTATGATTGTAAATGAATGCTGTGTGCATTTATAATGTGCCAATATGAAGTATCTGCAAATTGTTAACAATAATAGCCTTACAAATAAACGTGGTATAAAGTTTAATGTGGAATAAACTGAGTATAAGCAAAATTACTTCAAATTTAGCTTTTTTAACTTTATACCGCGTATATTAAGGCTGTAAAATCTAGTAAACAGTTAGCATTTGCAGATTCTTCATATTAAATATTGATAATTTTTTTAAGTCATTTTAAGCTAAGTAATACTTAAGACAATTATTGGCCAATGTTTGATCAAATATTTCGTTGCCTGAAGATAATAAAAATCTGTAAATGGAACTTTTTTATGGTACATTATTTACTTTGTATGAGAGAAAATTTAAGGCATATTAAAGGCTGGCTGTGATCTTGAATTAAATTTTATGTCATGTAAAATGTTAAAGGTATTGCCAACCTAAAAAAATAGATTTTTAGTATTGCCATCGTTAAAAATTATGGTTATAAGGTAAAAAAATCATTTTTATCATGTGAATACTATATTTGATCAAATATAGGCCAAAACGTATACTAGTGGACTAGCATAAAACATAGGCAACTTAGTTTACTTATTGTAATTGATTAAAATGTGAAGATGAAGTTTAAATTTTTTTTATCTGATCATTTAATTTTTAATTTTCTGTGCTTAGTTATCGTAAGTATACTTGACTTGAAAACTGTAAAATAAACTTTTGAACACACAGTTGTTAATTTTCATTAAGTAATGCAGGGTTCATTCAATTAAATTACTATTTTTTGAATTTCTTTATCTCTTATTTCCCTTTATTTTATACCTATTACTATCTTATTTTTTTATTTGTTTTCTTTCTTTTTTGTTTGTTCCTTACAAAAACTATGAGTTTACAAATGGTCTTTTCCACCGGAAGAAATAATAATAAACCCAACTATCCAAGTTTAACCAAATTCTTATCACATGGGCAAGTGATTTTCAAAGTAGGTCACATTATGGATAACAAATGGCCCAAAAACGCATGTACATTGACATTGAAAAATGGACAAGTTATAAGTATGTGATTATTTGATTTTTACCATTTTCGTGCTGGTGGTGGTAAAGATTCAAACTAATAATAATAGAATCTACTATCCATGGAACTTTAACAGGATTCATAATTTCCCAACAGATATCTATCCATTTTTACAGATAAAAAAAATCCATTGAAAATTTGGTGGTATTCTCTGATTAGCTTTTGCCTGGGACTATGTGAAATTACAAAAACAAAAGTATGTAGCCTATGTATCCTTCCAGAACTTCTGCTTTCAAGATCCATTCTGCAGTTTAGGCCGCAGACTATAATAACCATCTATCCATCTTAAACTATCTCATTTATAATATTAGTAAGATTAGTCATAACTTTTTGCTATTTCTGCTGTAATGAACTAGGTATTTCATAGGTATGATGGAATTCATATTCTCATTGTCCATTGTCAATACAATTTTCATATATTAGTGTGACCTCAGACAAGTCACGCACTGAATGTGTTTAAGCAGGAAAAGAATCTGAAGATTGTCTCTTTTGGAGATATAAGGAAATGATGATACCATTTTTTATAAGACTTTTATTTGAAATAAAATTAACAATAAATAATATTTAAATGCCTGTTTGGAATAACCAACATAAGTTTTCTAGGTTTTGACTTATGTCCAAATACAACATAGTTATTTCCTATGTTGTCATAGACAAGGTTAAATATTGGACACCTCGCTTTTTTTAAATACTAGGGATATATAATACTCAGGATTTTTAAATCATAGTATTCTATACTATTCTATACAGTTTTCTTTTTTTTGTAGAATATTTTGCTAACTTCCTTCGTCAATTTGTTTTCTAATCACTTTTTATTCGCGTGTCAAGTCTTTGTTGTGGATTCTCTTCCGTTGGTTCTGGCTCCGTGATTTCAGTTTCGTTCTTAATCTGTTTTTTTCCAAATGAACAGACTCCGCCTTCACAACTGAATGGGAAATCAGTCTTAACATTTCCATCTGCGTCTTTAACAGCCCAAGGATTCCAGAAACGTAGTACGTAAGGTTGAATGAATTTGTGCCACAAAAACAAAAGAACTGGAATGATAAAACACGGAACGCATACCATGTTGATTATTGGTTTTTAAATGTAATTAATTAAAATATGTATTCTAATCACAGGCCAGTTTACAGAGAAAATTGCGTGGTTGTTTTTGTAATTTTTATTGCAGTCGTGATTTTTTTGTGGCACGTCAAAATAAAACTTTGACTTTGACGTTTAATCCGTAGACAATTAAAATATCAGAATCTATGGATGCGACCTCCATGGAACAAAGGAACATGAAAAATAAATTATTCTTGAATATTGATTTGCAACAATTAATTTTTATATTACACACATTGAGTTTTAATGGAGAATTTTTTAAATCACGATGTTATAAAATCACTTTTGTTTCTTAATAGTGCAACTTTTGAGTGCGCGGGCCGCAACCAACCCCTTAATTACATCGATATTAGTTTTAAATCAATCCTAAAGTTGGCCAGATTGATCAATGAGAATGATGGAAGGTGAAAAGTTGAGGATGATGTAAATAAATGATGAAATGTAGCGACGGAAATTCACGTATACTAATAAAATCTTGAAAGGTTTAGGAAAAAAAGTTTATGCAAAACATACTTGGGTACAAAAATGAAACACTGCGTTAAAATAGAAAATTGTTTTATTTTTTTAAATCATATTTTCTAGTAGATCTAGTATGGGTAACTTCATTCGGAAAACAATAGGATATCAATAAATAGATGAAGTGTAAATAATTTGATATTTTCTATATTACGTAATATATCAGTAGATTTCTTATATTTGTAAATATGTATTTGTAATTTTAACTATTATTTACATTTATTTAAATTAAATACAACAAAACTTTATAATTAAACTAGAAATATATAACTGTACATCTAATACCCTGTTCAATTTAATATTAGGAATAATATTTTTTGCGTAGCTTAAAGTTTAAACAATAAAAAAATGTATAAGTACTTAGTACTTGTACTTACAACAGATAAATTAAATTAATTGAAACGTTCACAAACTATGAAAAATTAGCAAATAAAAGCATAGATCCTTATTGCGGTCATTGGCCTAAATTTTTTTACAAACAAACAAAAAGAGTAACCATTTTTATCATATAATTGAAGTATTTCATACATTTTATATATGTAATAAATTATTTTCATATCGATTTTTGAAGACTTTTCATGTGTTTAATTCTATTGGTTTAAAATTGTGATTTTAATACAGTGAAAAGTTGAGTAGAAATTTTTTTCTTTATCGGAAAAATAATCGACTTAATTTTTTCACTTAAATAATAATTCGCATCCTTTGAGCTTTTAAATTTCATGAGTAATTCCTCCTGAGTATATTTAAGTATATCTAGAAAGTTTAAACATAATATTTTAATATTCAAATATAACAAAATATCCAACTACGATGTAATATTGTGGCGCTAGAGACCACCATTTTTTTACAACCAAACGTTACTATTCTATGTAAACACAATTTTCTTTTAAATAAAAATATATGACTTCCATTGATAACATGTTCTTTTGACACTTATAAAATGGTCATGAGATCTTTCTCACAGCACTCGAAGGTAGAATTAACAGTAATATATCATAAATAATCTAATTTAACGAGAATAAATAGCTATATTAAGATTTTCAAAAATATAAAATATATTTTGACTATATTTTGTTGCTAAGTAACACTATAATATTCTAGGCACAACAAGTCTTGCATGGCACAGATTATATATTTAAAAAAGGCACATGTCATTGTAAAGTGTAGTCTTTGACATTAGCTAACGCCATCTTGAAATGCGCGGGCAATTCCGGCAAACTGTAAACGGGGTCGGATATCGGAGGCAAAGTTAACGCGTCAACTGATTTCTCATAAGTGCTGTAAGCCAAATACAATTGTGAAACACGATTTATTTCATCGTCAGTCATACAAACCGAACGAAGCTGTTTCTTGAAGTCGGAATCGCCACATTTTGAGCAAATCTCTTCGAGTATACACATTTTTGTCTCTCTCTTTCCGTTGTTACGTATGGGTTCGACAAATTCATATTTTCTCTTTCCGTTCCTTGTTTTATCGTCGTCTGAGAAAAGGACGAATAGATCGTCGCCGCGTTTACTAGTGCATCCCTTTCTTGCAATGATCTCGCCTCCCCCCTTCATCAAAGCTGTGCAGAGTTGTTCTGAAGGATTTTCAAAGTCGTAGAAGACGTATTTGGACTCTGAACTTGTCATGCTGTTGTTCTCTATATGAAGACTGTAGCGGAGACGGATTTTCTTTGGCTTCTTGGTGCATTTCAGGTACACGTGTATGGGTATATCTAGGGAAGCACAACCAGACTCTTGTATCTCGTACGGAGGCTCGTGGAGCACTGCAACAATATATTAATTAATAAATAAATAACTGTTAAGAACAAAATTAGTACCGTGCTAGAATTGGCGCAACTCTAGATTATCGGCATAAACGTCACGTCCCTAGCTGACAGCTGTCAATGTCACAAGAAGTATGGATATTGGCGCGCAACCTGAGTCCTAACGAGAAGTGTTGCTCTGAGTTTAAAGCGACAGTATCAATTAAATAAGTTATCTAAAATTACGTACTAAATGCACTTGCATAGAACCTATATCGGTTTGGTTTCTTAGCTAGGCTCTCACTTTTTAATGTATTTGACAAAAAATAAATTGCCTCAGCTTTACACAGAAAAAGAATTTTTGTAAAATACGTTCTATTGAATCTTAACAGTTAAAAGAATCTTATTCGGTACAGTTTTATAAACTTTTTCTACTTCACAAACATTATACAAATAATTCATATTTATGCAATAGAGAAATACATATTTCCTATTAAACTTTTATATTGATTTGAACGTATTCAATACAGAATAATAGAGTATACATTTTTATAGACTTTTTAATATTAGATTTTATATCACGAATGCAGTTTTTTCTTAATTTGAATTTACAATAGCCAGCGATCCTACTGCGAGACTGCATTACAAGTAGATATGGGGAACTATTTAAAAAACAAGGTCAATTTATGCGTTATTGTGTTAAAAATTAAAAAAATAATCGTTTATCGGTTATGTACCATACTGTTCAAACAAAATTAAAAAGAAAATAGGTACAAAAAGGTCTTAAACTTTTGACCTACAGTATATGTTGCTTTGACAATTTTTCGTTCTAATTGAGTGTAGACTAACACATAAAATGGGTATGGAATAATCGTCTCCAACTTCTATTCCCTCCGTAAGTACCACTTAGATTTTTTTGCCTCATTTTAGGTACTCAATGTTCGGAGAACTTACCTCTTTTGGGGTAGACGAAGGCGCTTGCAGGGTGCAGATGGAAGACGACCTTATGCACAAAGGCGCTGAGGTCTCCCCCCCGCGCGGCTCGCACCCACACACGCCAGTCCAGTGCGAGCGCGCGTCCCAGTGGTGACCGGCACGGCGCGCAAGCATGCCCAACTTCCAGCCACACGCGGACACACATCTTAAAACAATAAAAAAAGTTATTAATAAATTGTAAAGTGAAAAAAAGATGGCTTGAATATGCTGTAACATTTGATATGATTATTTATTACTAGCTGTTGCTCGCGACTTCGCCCACCTGGATCAAAAAATAGTACAAAATATAGCCTATGTTACTCACAGATAAACTACCTTTCTAACGGTTAAAAAATTTTTAACATCGGCCCAATAGTTTTTACGTGAATCAAAAACAAAGGAAAATCTAAAAATCCAAATATTTCGTTTTAATAATTATTACTTACGTATTCATAGATTGGTTTTCTCTAATAATTGGTCAAATTTCAAAAAGGGTTTTGTTTAATATTTCACAAAAAAAATATTATTAATTTGTATATCTCAACGTTATTTACGAATTTACGACTATATTTCGTGCTGTGAAAAAAAAAAGTTTTTTAATCATTCATTCCTTAATCTGTTTTAATGTCTTCCTTATACAATATCTGATCATTGTATTGGAAATATATTCCAAAAAAATATATTGCTTTCCGCATATTTAATTCATTAACAAAAAAAGTTAAGTAACGCCATCTATTGATAAAACTATTCACCCTATTATTTTAATGAGATTTACGTCCGTCTTTCGAAGTCACCATTCCCTCAATGTCAACATTAAGTGTTTATTTTGCCTTTTGCGGAAATTATGCTTATAACGACTGTGCCAAACGCAACATCCGTTCCTTTCCTGTGACCTTGACCTTGAAAATACGTGCGCGAGATTCGCCAAACAAAACTATACAAAAACATACAATTCTCAGCGTAGTCTGTGAAAACAATCTTACTAAAATTGTAATAGTTACTTTTGGTAGGGTCACACTAAATTCCTTAGTTTGACGTCTATCAGATTACGTAGCGATTACGAAGCGAATTATCATAAGATTCGTTTAAAAGTTGGTATTTTTTTTTGCGACTCGTAATTTGCTATTTATGATATCTCCTAAACTATTGATCGGAATTACATAGTTCGAAGGGCATTTATAATCTACATTAAATTCTCTTGATGATGGACACATTTATTTGGATAAGGATTCATACCGAACACGAGTAATAGCGTTGAAAGTTGGGTGTAGATTTCGAGCGATATTTTGATGAAAAAAGTGGTTATTGTGCGACAACCTTAAGAGATAGATATATGCTATCGCGGACTTTTATTTAGAAAATTTAATGGGCTACAATACTTCCATACATGATTTTTATGTAAGTCTTATAGTTTAGGCTACGTAAGCAAAGAAAGCAAAAATGACCCGAAATTTCGTCGCGCGATTTTGAGCTACACTATTTAACTACGTCGTAGTCTTTGACTCCAAAAATCAACTAAAAAAATGGGACACACCTGCAAGCATTACCTTTCGGATAAAAAAAGAATTATCAAAATCGGTCCACTAGCGGCGGAGATATGCCGTAACACACATAAAAAAAAAAACATACAGACGAATTGAGTACCTCCTTCTTTTGGGAAGTCGGTCAAAAAATCCTACTTAGGGCTCTAATTTATGTTCACGCTATTTCATTTGGAGGATGAATAATTTGGGGAAAAGTTATGAAATGCGACATCATGTGGGTGAAGCCGCATGAGAAAAGCTAGTTTATGTGTGATGCATAAAGGTCGCAGTGATAGTTCCATATGTGTTGTTCATACAATAACGTCACACGTGTTAGATAAACATTATCAGTACACGGGCACGCAGTTTAGCAGCAGTTTTGACATTACCAACATCGAAATTACAGTACTAACAATTATTTAAATAAATTATCCGAATAGTCTTACTAATATTATAAATACTACAGTTTAGATGGATATTTGTTACGATGTTTTCTAAAACAGATCTTAGTGAAATATGAAATAAAGACATAGACTCCGAAATACAAAGTTATTTTTTCTCCGCGAGGACAGCTTGATTTTGTAAAATTTATTTAATCAAATATTTACGGACGTTACCAGCCCATAAATTACCTACACCTAGAGGGCAGTTCTCCTAAAATGGTATGCGAAGTAGTTCTATGATGTGTAATCTAATTGTAGTCCCTTTCAACCCTTTTCTTAAGACGAAAGGATGGGAAGGAAAACTCGATTTGACAGTGGATGAGACGTATAGGAAGGGGAAATGTCCTCTTTATGTACGTATCTTTCGTCAATTAAGGGTAGGCAACGTATCTGCAAATGCGGATGTTTCTGGGCAGCGGTCGCTTTCAATTTCGGTGGATTCAGGTGGCCGCTTGGTCGTTTGCTACCTTATACTATAAAAAAACATAGGGGGGGGGGGTAGATAAATATCGATTTAAACATCACTCGACTATTAGTAGTTTATGAAGCATTTTTCACTTATATTTATTTCTTACATAATTACGTAAAATAATTCGCATATTACCATCGGGTCAGCGACCGCTTCTACGTCGATATGACGTAACACGCGTTATTCATCGACATTTCAATGAAAACCAACTAATACTCGAATGTTTCTAACCTAAATAACATTAAAAGATTTCCCACGTACGCACATCGCACCTAAAACACAACACAACGAACAAAAATTTATATGTTTACCTTTTAATATTGTCTGATTTTTTTTAAAATTATTTTTTAATAAATAACACCTGAAGCCGTCGAAAAAGCGAAGCAACCGCTGCCCATAGACATCCGTGATTGCCGATGAGTTGCCTACCCTTAATCGACGGAGGAGAAGACGCATAAAAAGAGGATTTTTCCCCTACTTATGAGTCTCCTCTGCCATGTAATTTAATACCTTCCCATATTAAGAAAAGGGTGGAAAGGGAAAAGGACTCAAATTAGGATTCCGACACTCATCAGACTGTACGCGAAATTGCTCCCACTTCACGCTTGTCTTCTGTATGGTGGTATTTCACCGGGTGAGTCGGCCCATTCGTGCGAAGATGTTAAAGCGGGTACCACTGTCTCCATTAATATATGCAGTAGGTCTTTAAAATAGACATGTTAATATAGTTTGATCATTACCAGATGTACTGCGTAGTTTCTTATATGTAATGATGTGATTGAATTAAAATTATTATATACATGTAGTATGTTACAAACATTTGTATAACTGATTATACAACGGTGCAATATAAATGTTTTTTTAAACTAAACATCGTACTGCCACACTCAAGGACGTTTCGTAACTTGGTGACTATTTGGTTGCTATAATTTGTACTAAGGGATGGATTAAGCAATCTTTAATAGGAATAGTAATAAAAACCGTAACAACTATTAATAAATTTTCATACAATTAATATTTACGAAAGTAGATGTCTATGCGCGCTGCCCTACTCTTTTTTGGCGTATTTCGGTGCGAAAAAAGAATAAAATAAGTACATAGTATATACACGAATGGATAAGATACGAAATGAGTATATTAGAGGAAGTTTGAGAGTAGCCCTAGTGGTAGAGAAGGTAAGGAGTAAAAGGTTAGCATGGTATGGGCGTGTTATGATGGATGTATCGCATGTTACAAGGAGAACGTTAGTTATAAGTGTGGTACACCGGTAGAGGTAGACCTAGAAAGAGATGGATTGCGTGAAAGGTGACATGATCAAAAAGGGAGTGATGACTGAGTTGACGTATGATAGAGTTATTTGGAGGACAAAAACCTGTTGCGCCGACCCTACTCCCGTAGGGGGACCTTACAGGAGAAGTGTACGGAGGAAGATGAAGTACATAATACTAAAGCATTATTATAACGTAAAGTTTATTTAAAAAAACACTATTTCACTGGTATTTTGCTTTCCTTAACTGTATCTGTTATTTGGCATTTGGCCAATAGAATGATAAGTCGATTTAGCTGATTCGATGAGGATTATCGATATCGATGACGAAACGAATCGACTCCCTGTCGATAAATGGCCCCACTATCAAAATTAAAGCGATTAAAAAAATCAAGCCAATTGTTTGCATATTTTAGTATTTCTTTCCTCGAATTTATTCACGTTTCCGTCCACTTTAACATATGTAGTCCATTGGACTTTGGTATTGTTGCATGAATATTGAATTGAACATCGAAATTAAGCCTTTATTCACAAAGAAACATTTTTAATTTCTGTGTATTTGAAATGTCTGATAGGTTAGCAGAAAGTACATGATCTTATAACTACCATATCTATTTTATCTTACTAATATTATAAATGCGAAAGTTTAGATGGAAGGATGGATGTTAGTTAGAGTTTGTAATCTAAACGGCTGAACGGATCTCGATGAAATTTGGTATAGATAGAATAAAGAAAATCGCATTTAATTTTTATGTTAGTCTGTCTGTCCATCTTTCTGTATGCCGCGTTTGTTCCGGGTTAACTCGGTTTGGGCCGATTTCGATCGGACTTTCACAGAAGAGTAGCATAGACGGGCTACTTTTTCATCTTAATATTGCGTGAAAGAAGTCGCGGGCAACAGCTAGTAATTACATAAGAGTGGTTTGCCCATGACAAACTCAAAAACTACTTACGGAGACTGCTTTCAAGTATAGTAGAGACTTAAAATATTAAAGGAAGAAGAACGGACGTGGGAGTTATTTCTTTGTCTAGTTACCAATTTTATTATAGTTTTCATTACAATTTTTTATTAAATGACAGCGGTTATAGCAAATTACCACAGTTTATGTATTTTGTGGTTAAATCGAGAAAAAAGTAAGTCCATAAGATTTAAATTGAAAGAGATATTACAAGATAAATAAAAAATAAAACTAACCTCAATTGAAAGTCGAATTGAACTGAAATATATCAAATACGAATGTCACGATAAACAAATTTCGGTAAAATATCTAGAATTAAGTTATTAAAAAAACACTTTAATTATAATCTTGATTGTGGAATAATAGAGAATATTTCTATGTTATTTGTCCAAAGATAGGCATCGTCCATCAACGTTGTCATTACAAATTGACGTCGTACAAAGCATAGAGTTTTAAAAGAGGTTTTATATGTATTTTTTATGAAGTATAATTTTGGAGAGCACAA